AATGTTGCCACTCTTGCCTTGGTGTGATTTGGTATAAATACTTTATACCTGGTCTTTGCTGAGTTGTGGGTCTGGATTTCAGTGCCGAATTTATTAATGTACGGCTCCTGAAAGGCGATGATATCTGCTTCACCTAGCACGGGGTCCCTTAGGACCTCCGCCATGGTGTTGTGGCTTCCGCCTACGTTGTACTGTGCTACCGTTATGGTCTGTATCCTTGGTGTGTTTTCACTTATTGCGTCGCGCTCATGTTTTCTTTGACTTTCCTCGATGGTACTGCTGGTCTTGATGAAGACCTATATTTCAATGTCCTGATTGTCCCCGATAGGTCAGACTCTTCTTCCTGCTCACTCTTATTGTTGATATGCAACGAGATTTCCGGCTCCTCGCGGCGGGCACTGCTGCTCCTCGCTTTTGACCGTGTTTTCCCTCTGGTTTCTGACCTGGATCGGCTCCGGTCGTCATGTCGTCTCTTCCTTGGGTTGGTACTGATCTCTCGGAGTTGTTGATTCGCGGTCTTTGGTTTCCTCGCTTTTACCAGGATGTACTCTTCTGGGTCATCTGTCGCCTGCGATCTTGGGGCATTTTGGCTTGCCGTCGGGACTCCAGTCCAGCTTGTTCCTTTCTGGTTTGCTTGTGTTGGGATGTGATCTGTTTCTATCTTATCGTTTTGTGATCCTGCAGGGCGGCTGCCGACCACAGAAGGTCCTGGACTGACCTCGTAGCATGGTTCGGGGTAGAAGGGGCGGGCGTTTAGTTCGGCCTTTGCTACCTCTACCCTCCTTATCTCGTCTTTATATTTTGGACACTGTTTTGACCAAGAGTAATGTGCGCCGTGGCAAAGACAGCATCTTGGGACTGAGGATGTGCAGTCCTCAGTGTTGTGCTCGACAGAGGCGCACTTGCCACATGTCTCTTTGTTCGTGCAGAAGGTTCCTTTGCATTTCCCATATTGGTAGCGCTTCAGGCATCTGATAAACTGATATGTCGGGTCGTGTCTGCGTACCACTCGTAGTCCGTGGCTCCATGCTAATGTCCCACCCTTAATAAGTATATTGGCTCCTTCAGGCGTTTTGCAGTCTACCACGAGGCTGCCGTCTTTCTGGCCGTCTCTGTATTTACGGTACCATCAGCAGTCGACTACCATGTTATGTGACATTACTTGTCTATTTTCAATCCTGAGCTGTTCAATAAACGCTGTCTTGTTTCCTGGGTCAATGGATTTGATTGGTATCCCATGTATGATCACTGGGTAGACTGGCAGCATCACATCTGCCTCTGTCGCTACGAATCCCTTCCAGTCCTCTTTATGCCTGCGCAGGGTCTCCGCTTGTGCCGCGGTCTCCGTGTGCGCGACGATTGACCCTCTGCTGTTGATTCTGGCTGTCTTGAACTTGGCTGCCATAATTAACGTGTCTTCCGTGGACGCGAGCGCCTCGTTGAGCTTTTGGACTAGCTCACTGGGCCTTAGCTTTCTCCATGCTTCTGGTACTGCCTTATTCCCTTTATACCTAATGACTATCTCCTTGTGCTTTGGGCTCTTGATTGAGGCTGCTGCGGAGGACGTCCCGCTCATGGTGCGTTGTAGGGAAGGAGGCGCGGCGAGGGAAGACGCGATTTGTGCCCAGGTGCGTGTTGTACGCGTTCTTTGTTTTGGGGGGGGGGGGCGTGTTTGCTATATTGCTGTTTGCCTTAATAATAGTAATGTCTTGGTGTATATCCTGAATGAGTGTGCATACTTGGTGTTGTTGCTCGAGTTTATTCTTGTCTGGGCGCGTCGCCCGTATCACAAACCGTTGGATACTGTTAAATAGCGGCTTATAGACCTTTTCAGGGATGTCCTTTCCCTTTCACTTGGTTCCTTCCATGCCTGCACGTGCATATTCCATGACGTTGTTCATATCCGCTAGGATTCAATCTCCATGGTCTTTAAGGGTGTCGCATTTTACCCCAACGGGAGGCCACTTTCTCCGGCCTTGAGACATGCTGGGTATTGGGCTATAGCCAGCAAAAGGCTGAGCAATGTCGGCTTTATTTTGGGGCGATCTACGTTGCGCTAAAGTGGTAAATTCCAAAAATATGGTTCCAGGGTTTGTAGATGTGTTTAAAACGTTCCCAAGTGCTTCCATTGCCTCTCAGGTTTCCCTTCCCGGTGTTGAATTCTTAGATCCACAACTATGCTTGCTGATCGGGAGGTGGTCAGAGTCATGTTCCATATCTCTGCCTATCATGTATCGGATTATCTTATCTGCCAATCCGGCTGATATCCAACAGAGGTCGAATTTCGTCCTCTTTTCTCTTCCTCTTCGTATATGATCGCTCCATGGCGGAGCGTGCTCGTCAAGCATGGGTTTTGCATAATGTCTGTCTTATAGCTCTTCTTCCTCTTCTCGCGGCTATCTACCTCGCTATACTTCCCATACTGGGTGGTGAAGTTTGAAAATCGCCAAGAGGCATCTGCTCCACCACGCTCTTTTCCTGGCAGACTTCCTGTACCATCGGAAGCGCGCTCTCGCGTCCTACCGAGCTTTGCGGGGTTCCATACACGTTATGTATAATAATTTGATTTTCTACCCTTCATCTCTATGTATGATATACAGAGAGCAGACATTCCCTTATGTGCGCTTTGAAATGCCATCTGGTATGGTCTAGTCTCTTGTTTACAGAAAAATGCCGTTGTTGGCTTATCCTCCCGTTCAAGGAAATAGCAAAGATGGTTCAATCTCCTCGCTTGCTCTATTGGTAGTCGGCCCTATATTAGATTGCTTTAACGCCCGGCCCGCCTCCAAGGCGGTCAGGTCCCTTATGGACCGTTTTCTCTTTATGTCGGTAGTGGGGTACCCCGCTTGGCCTGCAGGCTTCGGGGTCTGCAGCACTGTGTGCTACTTGGGTCTGTTCTCGCACATGGTCTTAGTACTGGCGATCTGTTCCTTGCTGGTTGGGCACTAGAACTAGCGGTTCCGGACCCATATGCACCATGGCAGCAGGCGCACTTCCTTGGTACGGTCTTGTCGGCTTTCGAAGGGCAATCTCGGGAGTTGTGTTCTTGAATCCAGTGGCCGCATGTTGTTATGGCTTTGCGTTGGCTACCTATATGACCGGATTCCTGACAGTTAAAGCATTACTTCACGCGGTATTGTCGTTCGTACGTTCGTATCTTTCATTATCGTAGTGGAATTCTTGCCACGTTTGCCCCTCGTCTATGATCTTGTTGGTATCCTCCGGCTTGATGAACTAAATTATCGATCTTGACATCATTTTTGACAGTGCTTTCCAACTGAGCAAACTGAAGTGCTTGATTTCGGCTGTTGCGATATAGGGCTTGTTTGCACTTGAGATGGCGTCGCTAATATCTTCTAGTCATGTCTTTGTCTTTGGTGTGTATGCTGTGGACGAGTACGCCATATGTCTGGCTGCGTCTCGACATTCCATTCCCGATCCTAGGGACTTATTCCTATGCGGATCATCTGTAAGTATTTGTATTTTATTTGTTGTTACCGTCTTTATGCTAACATTTCCGCTTTCAGTTGCTTAACAGACACGACCCTTGTATTGGTTACCCGTGCTCTACGCAATGGTTTGCTCAACATGGGCTTTCAGGTTGCAAGATTCCTTGCCTCGAAGCTGCTGGATAGTTTGCGTGTTTTTGATGTTAACGATGATCTCGCGATGCGTTTAAGCACGTGGCTTCATATTCTGTGCGCTATGGATGCTAGTTGCCATATAGCCTTTGCAGCTGCAGCTGCAGAGCTTAATTGCGCCGGCTGTTGTGTCCCTTTGCTTCTGATGTCTCTTGGGCTTCCCATCACCGTCTTGATCATGTCGATTGCCTCTTGTGTAGCTATCTTTTCTTCTTTTCTCGCTGTTATTGCTGTTTTTATGTTCCTCGCTCCTTCTGCGTCCTTTCGGACATTTCCTCTATTCTCTTCCAGCCTTTTTCCGTCTCTAAGCGTATTTGGTCTATCTTCTTTTCTGTAGTGGAGACATCAGGGGCTTTTTTAACTTAGCAAGAGTGTCTCTTTCTATGGACTTCAATGCACCGAAGAGCTTTCTCGTAAATCAAAAATATTCGTTTGGAGGTTAGTATGCCTTGATGCCTGCTGGCACTTGGGCACCATGTAGGAAGAAATTGACTGCGCACGGGCCACAACACCAAAGATGGATCATGTATTTCACACATATCTTAGCTATACTACCACATTTGGCTTCTGAATCGCTCTCCTTTTGTATTATACATATGCTTGCATCGTTCGGGCATCTCGCTGATACGCCTCCTAATTTGTGAGCGCGTAATCCTGCGCCATTCACGCTCAATTGCTTTCTTGAACTCAGCTACTGTACGCCAATAACCACCACGTAGGCGCTTCTTCATGATCATCCAAATAGCCTCTATAGGATTGAGATCAGGTGATTGTGCAGGATGTTGCAGTATCTGGATTTGTGCATCACTTTTTAGCTTCATAGGTGCACTGTTTGGGCTGCGGTGACCATGCGATGGATCACCATCCTCCTGAAAGATGAATTGATGCTTATGGTGTTGCTCAAGCCACTTAAGATGATTTAGATGATGTGGTAGAATAGCCTCAGTATAATACTTTTGGGTCATTGAATTGCCTTGTGCTTGAATCTTCAGCGGATGCTTACCGCCCTCAAGCCAATTGGCTACTGCCTCTATATGCTGTTGCTTTGTTTCAACTGAGGATTTACGAGGCCGTGGGGGTTTATAAACCTTTGCTGTTGGTTCTTGAGGATCATTATAGAATATAAATGCTCCTTTGTGGTTATATGATACTCCAGCAGCAATATGAATAGTGGCATTGAGAGGAGCCTTCTGAATAGGCTGTAAGCGTTTATTTGGATCAGATCCTCGTTGTCGAGTCTCGTACTGTGTTTTATATGCAAGATCAATGGAGTTGAAGTGTACTTCATCAGTGAAATACACATATTGCCACCAATCACGAACTGTCTTATTCTGATGATCTCGTCCATACTGATAGCGAGGATTTTTATTCTTATCAGATAATGGGGTCATAAGTTTCTTTTTGAATCGCCCAGCATCCCGCCTATCATGAAGATTTGATCGTAAGGTGCGCGTTGTGCAATCAAGCTTAAGTCCTTTGATTTGAGTCTCTGGAGGCGCCTCGTGTAGAGCGTCATTTGTATCAATTAACCTATCTAAATCTGATGCACAAATTTTTCGATTTCGTCCAAGGCGAGAAGACTGCTTTCGCGTCCTCCTCAATGCAGGTGATCCTTGTATTTCACGTTGTCGAAGCCATAAACGACCAGCAGATGGTGGGATGTTGATACCCGATTGTTTGCACAAAGAATTGAATGAAGTACTAGGCAATTTATGATCATACGCTTCCAAAAAGCGTACACGATGTAGGGTATTCCACTCACGACGTCCATGCTCTTTTTGAGGTGTCCTAGGTGCCATGGTGGATGGTGGTAACCTACATATGCCCTCGAGGACCGCGTTGTTTTGATGTCCGTTTTGGTGTTGTGGCCCGTGCGCAGTCAATTTCTTCCTACATGGTGTGGGCACCATACCCGAAACAATTGAATGCGCACGGGCCTCACCCCAACCGGATCATCAAAACAACGCGGTCATCAGGTTGTATTTTGTTCATTACAGCGCAATCATAGCGCCTACAACACCTAAGAAAAAGCTTGGAAGGTATGGAAGAGATACAATTCAACGCCAGCGCTTTTTTGAAGCATTTGATCGCAAGTTGCCAACTACATCATTCAATTCTCTTTACAAACGCCAAGGTATTAATATACGACCTTCAACTGGTCGATTATGGCTTCGACAACGAGAGATTCAAGGATCACCTGCAATCAGAAGGACCAGAAGGCAGTCGTCTAGCCTCGGAAGGAAACATAAAATCTGTGAAGCCAATCTTAATATGTTAGTTGATCCAAATGAGCCGCTGAGCGGAGCACCACCCGAGGTCCAGATTACTAAGCTTGGCCTTAATTGTCAGTCTAAGCACATACCAAGTATCACGTGACATAAGCAAACGCTGGCTAGATAAGAGAGGAGAGCCAGGGGTAGGGGACAGGAGAACAACCATACAATCCATCAGTCAAGACAGGATAGAATGAACTAAGCAGGTTTACGATCTCACTTATGCACCATTCATCGCTCCCGTGATCTTCCGCACAGACATCGACATTAATTGCACAACACGCACGTTAGAAACCAATCTACGTGATAGGAAGAATGCAAAGCGGTTTAAGCAGTCACTTGCACCACAGCTATCTGAAGAAACGACATCTCCATATCTAATATGGCCAGGATCATCTAGCTGAAACAGTTCGAGGATGGTGGCAGTACATGTATTTCACTGATGAGGTACAGTTCAACTCAGTAGATCTAGCATATAGATCACAGTACATTACTCGACAACGCGGCACAGCACCTGTCAAACACTTACAGCCTGTGCGAAAGGAACCTCTCAACGTCACCATCCACGTGGCTGCTGGAATCTCATATAACCACAAGGGTGTATTCACCTTCTATCATGATCCTAAGGAACCAAGCGAGAAGATATACAAACCTGCATGTCCATATAAATCATCGGTAGAAACAAAGGAACAGCATCTTCAGGCGATTGAGGCATGGCTCGAAGGTGGTGAACATCCACTTTTAAGGTACAAGCTCAGGGCAATTCAATGACACAAAAGTATTATACTGAGTATATATTGCCATTACATTTGGAGCATATTAAGTGGTTAGAGCAAAAGTACAAGCATCAGTTCATCTTACAGGAGGATAATGATCCCTCACACGGCCATCGCAATCCAAACAATGCTCCTATACGCTTAAAAAAAGATTCACACATAACTTCCTTAAAGCATCCTACACAATCACCCGATCTGAATCTTATCGACGCTATTTGGATAATCATTAAGAAGCGACTGCGTGGTAGTCAATAGCAAATAGTAGCAGAGTTCAAAGCAGCAATTGAGCGTAAATGGTGCCGTATTTCACTATCTCAAATCAGGAGACATATCTCAGAGATGCCAGCGCGATGCAATCATATGTATAATAGCAATGGTAACCGATATAGAAGCAAGTTATGGTAAATAATCAATCATATATGCTATATCATGGGCCTTTTTTTCGGTGGTAGGGCCCGTGCGCATTCAATTGTTTCGGGTATGGTGTGGGCTTCTGAGAGCACTGGGGATGCCGCCATGTCCGTGCGTCCTCGAATTTGTGCCACAACTTGATCTTTGCAATGATCTCACATTCCAGACATTAATACTCAACATCCATACACTCGTCATTCATCATTGAAGTCTTCGGGTACGATACGTATAATGTCGAAGACAAAGGTCTCTAAGAATGCATTTCGTCGACAGCAAAAGAAATTGAGGAAAGAGGTTGGTTATTTTGTTGCACGGCTTTCGCAACTTTTAGTTTACTTACAAGGAGTAGGAAGCACCCGCACCAGCTGAAGTGATCGTGTCTGAGCCTGTATTCCGATTAGACAAGTTTGAGGATGGTGCTAAACCAGACTCAACGACCTCCAAAGAAGCAACAACCACATCAAACTGTGACAGCTTTGACGCAGACTTACAAGGCTTAAGCGAGTACAAGAAGATATTTCAGCGTTTTCAGATATCACAGCATGACTCTGGCACTGGACAAGAAGGCGGAGAGCAGTTAGCGTGGAGCGAAGAGAATGACAACATCCCCGATGACACTGAAAATGCCATGCCTAAGAAGTCGAAGAAACAGCGAAAGCGCGAAAACAAATTGTCAGTTGCTGAACTCAAAGCGATGGCTCGGAAACCAGAGCTTGTCGAGTGGACCGATGCAGACTCGTCGGATCCTCTCCTGTTGTTGACTATTAAGTCACACCGCAACATCGTTCCAGTGCCCGCTCACTGGTCGCTCAAACGAGAGGTAAAGTCATTTTGGTTTGTTCAAAAAGCAACACATAGACTGAAGCTAATACAGTATCTATCATCCAAACGTGGCATTGAAAAACCACCGTTTCGTTTACCGAAATTCATTGCCGACACAGGAATTGCTGAGATGAGAGATGCTGCTCTGGAAAAACAAGCAGAGCAGAGTCTCAAACAGAAGCAACGTGAACGCGTACAACCTAAGATGGGTAGGCTTGACATTGACTATGCCAAACTCTATAATGCATTTTTCAAATTCCAAACTAAACCAGAACTTACACGCTTTGGTGAAGTGTACTACGAGGGCAAGGAATTTGAGACCAACCTAAGGCATCTAAGGTACACTTATCGTAGCTGTCGTTCTAAGTCGACGTTAACTGATGCTAATCTCATCGTCAGACCGGGAGAGCTTAGCGACGAACTCAAGGAGGCACTTGGCATGCAGCCTGGCTTTGCACCACCGTGGCTCTTGAATATGCAACGTTTCGGCCCCCCTCCATCATATCCTGCCCTCAGGATACCCGGCGTAAATTGCCCCCCACCTGCTGGTTCCTCTTGGGGCTTTGGCCCTGGGCAATATGGGAAACCCCCCGTGGATGACAACAACAAGCCATTGTATGGCGGCGACATCTTTGGCATTGCCCAAATGAGACAGACTGATGCGTCCGATGAGTTCATTGATAAGTCTCTTTGGGGTGAGCTCCGACCTTCTGAAGAGGATTCAGAGGAAGAGGAAGAGGAGGACGAGGATGAGGAGGAAGACGGAACAGCCTCGCCGAGCGGGATCGAAACTGGTTTGCACACCGCATTTCCATCAGATATTGGAGGGCTGGAAAGCGTAGCAGGCGATTTTAACCTCCGGAAACACCGCGCCTTTGAAGCAGAGGAGAACTTCGGATCACGTCAGGCATACCAGGTTCTAGAAGAACAGAAAACAAACATTAACGGCTTTTTGGGTTCTGACAGGAAGTATAATCTGAACAATCCTCCCGCCAACATTCCTGTTCTTGGATCACAAGATTCGCGCAAAAGAAAAGCTGGCGATGTGGACGTTTCGGTAGACGTAGATACATTAATAGGAAATGGGAAATTGAGCAAAGACGAAATAGCAAAGCAATATCAGGCTCAAAGCCAAGACCGAACAAGGCAATGGACCGTGGATCAAGACGATTTAAGCCAGATGATTGCGGAGGAAAGTCGAAAGAGATTGAAGAAGGATATAGAAAAGCGCGAAGAAAAAAAAAGGCGGTAGGGGATATGAAAGATGCGAATTGCTTGGAAGAGCAATGGCCAATCCAACAAAGACGAGTGATCCCTACCATGTAGATGTAATATCAGTTAGGCATTCACAAATGAATAGATAGAACGCCACTTTCCAGCGATAAAAGTGCATGAGTGCTGCGCTAGGAGATGTGTTATTTAGACTATCGACGTCCTCTACCAGATGGACGTGGGGGACCGTGACGAACATATTCTGAATACAATGAAGGACAGCCTAAGACAAAGGACAAGTTAAAACATTAGCGCAATCACCATTTTCATCCAAAACACGAGGCCAATTTGCTTCTCTGCACATAATGCAATATATCATGAATTTCATTCGCATTAGCTGCTCCTTCAACCTAAAAGCTGCTGAGCTCAACAACTAATTGATTGAATATTTACAAAATAGGCATTCTCAAAGATATTGTGAAGGCCTTAGGATGATGTGTTGATGCCTAAAGAGCCTTAGGTACCATAGGCGTGAAGATTGTCAATCCTACCTGAGCAGAAGTATCACAATACCCTACAATTACTAACAGTCCGTTAGATTTGCTTTTGACAATTGGGCGATTTGTGGTTCTGCTACCTGAGATGGAACACGATAGAGATTTTAGGTAAGCTATCTTGACACTCCTGAGATAGTAGCAAGCACATCAATAATCAGCTCGCCCCGCCAGCGGCTAGTCTCTTGACCTGAGCGCCAAGGTAATACTTGTATGCGAGAGCCAACGAGACAGAGTCTGAGGGAAATAACGATAAAAATTCTGGCTGCAAATTGAATCAGTCCTTTCTAACTCATCTAATCTAGGCATGACGCTTTTGATCGTGATCGCAATCATAAACGCGAACGAAACCGCGACCCAGACCGTTATGATGAAGGCACGACGTACCACACGGATCGACCTGGCGGACAGTCATACCGCCCTGGTGGCACATCACGTACCCGCACCCGGACATCTCCACGTCCCGGTACTTACCGTCCTCGATCGCGTAGCCCTCAAGACGATCGGAGCAGGCTGAGAAAGAGAGACAAGGAGAGGGACAGAAACTATATTTCCACGGAGAGAGAACGCGACAGGAAAATACATAGAAGTAAAAGTAGAAGTAGGAGCAGGAGTAGACGTCGAATTCATCCAAGGCGTGACTATTCACCCCGATCAGCAAGAGAAGAGAACAATTATCGCCCGAATCGGTCTCCAATCCGTGAATCAAGGCAAAATCATTCACAACGAATGGATCTTGAGCGTGCAACAACATCGGAAAAGAGAAGCCGCGATGAATCTCCTATGGAACGAAGAGCCGCTCGCTCCCCGCGTTTGAAGCGCGAACTCTGGGCGTCATCACAACAGAGATATAGGAGGTAGGACGAATAATACATTCTGCTCTGCTTCGTCCTGAAGACACAATAGACTAACAACATGCAAAAAGCCCGTCTCCCAATCGTGCATCTTCTTTGCCATGTGGTCGCTACCGAGACTCCGAAAATATCTCTCTCCCACGGTCAACATCCCCTCAACGTGATGAAGTTCCCTCAGAAAGTCTTAGCCATGATTCTCTCTCACCACGAAGACTCTCGGCTCCAGAATCAGGCGCTAATTCAAGAAGATCATCGCCTCCTGTCTATCCAAGTCGTCTTCGACAAGTGGCAGAGAGCCGCCCCAATACAGATAGTTTGCTACATAAATCACCTGCACGTGAGCGGGAGAGAGGACCGTTGACAGCAAATCCAATACCGCCTTCAGGGCCAAGAAATGTACACCGTACTCCCCCAATTGGTCCTGCCGGAGCACGTAATGTTTCTTCGCCGCAGCTTTTCAGTTCCCCCGGACCTACAAGCGCTTCTTCTCAAGCTACCCTAAGCTCAATCTTCAACGCTCCGTCTCGATCACGCGCTGGTTTCAGTGGCCTTCGCGGTGCACACACTTTTTATCAGCCTTCGAGACGCAGTTCAGAATTCTACGCAGCCTCTCACGCACATACTCATGTTATTGCGCCAACTGGGCCCCGCGCCTGCGCGGTAGCTCCGCCGAACGCACCTTTGGTAAACCGACTCAATTCCTCACCAGGCCATACCAACAAAACAGACCAACAGCAAAGTAAAGAGCGATTTCTTGTTGATTTGCCAGCCTTGGTGCCTAAGGGTCGATCACGTACCTCGATAACAGCACCTAGTGCCGAAAAGTCACGGAAATTGGACTTGGAAGCTGAAAAATTGAGACGACGAATTGAAGAGGTGGAAATCGACAAGCGCACAAAACTCAGGGAATGGGAACGGCTACAGTTTGATGCTGAAAGTGCCAAACTAGGTACTGATTTAGCAGCAGAAAGGCTGAGGATACTAGAGATGAATGATTTCATGTAAAGCCATCACCATCCTCACAATCCTAGACTTATTTTTCTTTGCATACCTGTATCGAGAAGAGTGAACTATGAAAGCCCTGGATGATATTCTAGCCAAGCTAAGATCACGAGACAATATATTGCTCTTGGAGATGGAGCTTTGGCAGGAATGCCGAAGATTTTACTCTGGGAGAGTGTCAACACTAAGAGGCAAGAATATAGTGTAGTAATAGTGACATGGTCAAAAGTTCTACTCGAAGACCTCGTATGTTAGCGTATACTTGTTTACCCTCATCAAGCGAATGCTCTACTCCGTATGTTTTGCGGTTATTGTCCCACTTTCGAGAGCTAATGTGGATCCTGTCCTCAACGTGACTTGCTTTTCCGAGGCAAGTTCCCAAAGCGGTCGCCTGGCCGCAAAGAATTTCGATCTGTGCCTCCTACCTAGATCTACCTCTGAACTGCCCGCAGCCCAAAACTCCTATACAACATTCCTAAACAACTTTCGTAAGTGCGAATAAGCCCTTACCTAGTTTTTATACCTTTAATATTGTTTTATTCCTCCGTGTCATGATAGAATAGCAAGTATACACATTCTTGGACATAGTCATCAAGTTGTTGCTTATCTCCAATCCGATCTTGCGCCCATCTCACAATGTCTGCTTTGCGTAAGCTGCCACGTATCTCACTCCTTTTCAGCTTGGTGAGCCTGTTCATTGCTTCCATGTGCAAGGAGTCCATACGGGAACGCATGATACGAGCGCTCGGCATCCATGTTCCAGGAGGTACCTGGCGCTTGCTCGCCATAATCTTGGCCGTCATTAACGTAAAGAACCTGCCGCTCGTGTGGCATGTATGTAAACATATCCTTCTTGCCTAAAGCATGTCATCTAAATATCTGCACACTAGTACCGTCTTTTCCGTCCCCTCATCTACCACCTCTTTCTCCAACGCATAGAACTCAAACCGGAAGACTTGTTTAAGCCAGTCGTGCACATGACGCACACCCCTATGACGGAAATGGACTATAACTTTCACAAGAGCAATAGCACGTACTTCACAGACCTTGATATCTCCCGCACTCATCTTGCAACAGCCATTCTACGCAAAGGGATCCGCGGGATAAAAGGGGAAGAAGGCGAAACTTTCAGCTTGCGTAATACGCCCCGTGCAGCTGGCCATAAGATAAGAGAGCCCACCAGTGCTTTCAATACCAATCCGAAGCAGTGCTCGGCGATGGGAGCGAGAGTGATGACGGAGGAAGACTGGTATCAAAAGGTCACTCAACCTGGCCCACTTTTCGTTGCTCTGGGAGCCGTCACTTGCCATTTTCACAAGGAAATACGTCCTTATAAAAAATATGAGGTCTGGACCAGGCTCCTTACCTGGGACCGAAAATGGCTGTACATTGTTTCGCACTTTGTAGAACGTGGCGCTTTTAAGCCTCGGGGATATCGTCTGCAGCCTGGGTGGAAAGCAAGCCAAAAAATTGAACACTTGACAGAAGATGATAAGGCGAAATTGAGGAATAAGATCTTCGCGAGTTCGATTGCCAAGTATGTCGTCAAAAAAGGACGTCTCACGATTCCTCCAGAGCTGGTTCTTGAACGCAGCCAGATGCTCCCAGTACGTCCTGAGGGAACACCCATCCTTGGAGGCTGGACTCCTTCCACGAGCTCGAACACTACACCAGAAAGTATAGGGACCCTGAGTCCTGATCTAGAGAGATCGATTACTTTCAACAACATAGCCCATGGTGGGTTTGCTGGCTCGAGGCAAGCCATACTAGAGCAAACTTTATTTCCAAATATCAATGATATGAGCAATGCCGACTGTGGCTGGACCTGGGAAATCATGCAAAAGGAAAGACTCAAAGGCCTCAGCCTTGCAGAGGCATTTGATTCACTTGATAATTTAAAGGACACCTTCGACTTGAATGCTGAAGAGGCCATTGGTCGATACTCAGATCTTATTTTCAATTTTTAGCTTTTAGTCTCGTTTCAAGTATATGTTAAAGAATAATATAATTCCATATAGCAGCTATAGGCCTAGTAGATTTACGCCGCCTCACACAGTGAAGGCAGGGGGGCAACGTCGGACTAGCACTGTGGGCCTAACCGCCAGAGAGGGCCGACACCGCGCTAGTATTGGGACCTTACTACATGAATCAGATAGATTAGGGGAGGATCTCTCCCAAGCGATCCTTTCAAATTATAGTCCCGTGTTCCTCTGCTCCTGCGCTCCATTCGTGCCTCCGTCACTTAGTTCCAACCTTTTACAACACACATAATCGGAATCGGGATTAGAATTTGATTATAGGTTTTTTTTATGCCTGTATCCAATTATACAATAAGTCTTAATATTGGTTACACATTCGCTTTTGCCGTATATCTACTTATATTCCAACTATCTGGCTGCCTTTCTGCCTCTATAAAGATAGCCGGCTAGATTGATCGCAAGTAAGAGGGACTCCCCTAGGCTTGAACTTGAACTTGATTTCCTACTCGGTTTTGGCCGCTCTTAGTCAGCAGCTATGCCCGGACAGGTAGACTTCGTCAGACGGCCGACACGTGTTAAATTACATAATTCCGCACGTCCCTGTTAATGTCTGTGCAGAAGATCACGGGAACGATGAATGGTGCATAAGTGAGATCGTAAACCTGCTTAGTTCATTGTATGCTGTAAAGCACAACAACAGCGAGAACTCTCATTCTTGGAATAAAGAGCTCAATTGTGCTCACATACACCCCCTGAAGACCGGAAAGTGCTTTATCGGAAGCCGCACCGCCCAACGCGGCCGTAAGACATGGCGACGCCCTGGTCCACGAGGTAACCGGGCTCACCAACCTTCGAGAGCGTCTCCTAGAAATCATGAAGCAGCCCAGCGATACATTGCACGTCGTAGAAAGAGATAAAGAGATCGATAGAAAGCAACTAAGCAAAGCTCTCAAGAGCGCGCTACTCGCGCTCGCCAAAATCAAGGACACCCCTGACGTAGCCACCCTAGAAGAGAAGGTAGATCGACTGCGCACAGAGACAGTGAACGGATGGAAAAGCATTGATGAAGCCTTCCGACACATCCGAGAAGACATAGAGGCAACAAAGGCAAATACACAAGCAGCAGCAACAGCGGGTAAAGAGGCGAAGACAGCGGCGAT